AGGAACTATTGTCGTAGTCTTGTAAACTTTCCTATTTTAGCGGTGTGTTTATAAGATGATAATATGGCTTATGAGAACTACCTGCTTTGTTTAAAACACATTCACGTTTGGGGGCAAAGCAATAACTACCAATCAAGAAAGCAGGTGCTGGAAGAACTTTTTCTTCTTTTTTTAAATCCCACTGCAGTCAACAGAATGACAAAAATACTTAATGTTCACGTAATAGAGCAAAACAGGAATAGTGAGAGAATTATATTTCAAGTGGCTGATTCCATTTTGTTTACTAAATGAATTAAAGGAAAGAATGGCAGCAGAGTTACTGCGATGTGTAGAGAAACACGCGGGCATGAAGAATTAACAGTCTCCTTTCTCATTATCTTGCTTCTGCTTCTTCACTCCTTTGGCTCTTCCACTAGAGTCTCTCAAATTACGAGAGATTTTTGACATCTACCTTGCTTCTCACTTTCGCAGGGAAATATATCCTATTCCCACCAAATATAACAGCTTACTGTCTCATAAAGAAGATTCAGCTGCTTTTCTCCTGCAATACTAAGCTGACTATGTAAGCTGAGTAACGAAGACATGGACACCAGCACGCCATCTGCCCCTCTGAGGCTGCTGAATGATGTGAACGAGCCAGGCTTTGCATCTGCAGAGATGGAAGACGTGTCATGGGTTGTTAAATCAGTTTCCCAAGTATAGTTCTCTTCTTCTCTATGAGGAGAACATAGGTGTATCACTTAATAATTTATTTCGTCTAAGGTTTTTTAAAAAAGCTTTATCTGCACACCAATAATAATATTATGCCATCTGCCCAGCCTCCATTTTAAAGCTCCTAACAGGTATAAACTGCCTGCCGCTTATGTGAGAATACTGTATGATAGGAAGTGTGCTTAGTGAATATAGATGTACATATGTTACCAAAATAGTAAGTAATAAGTGATATTTTCTTTATTTTTGATAATGAAAACTGAGATTCACTAGGATGGAGTAAACTGCACAAGATTAGTAAACAGGTAAAAGTAGGGTTCTAAGTAAGATTGCTAGAGTGCTAACTGTCTTTTTATGCTGTATTCCTTCCCAATTCAACAAATGACTCTTTCCCAATTAAATAAACCCTAATTTCTTCACAACACTTCATCTTTAGGCCTATAGTCATAAACAGGCTAGTGTTACTGCAAACAATATCTCCTTTTACTCTCTCCAAAGCCCTATTTAGTTGGTAAATTATATGGTCTCCCTACCTACTCATATACTACATTGTAGAAAGCCATACTATTGCTGATTCTAAGTATTATTATTGGCCTCTAAGAGAGGGGAAAAAATGAAGAAGAAAAGGAGGAAGGGAGGCCCTTGTGAAGTTCTCAAAGAATAGACTACTAATTTAATCCTGCCAATAATCTTGATTAAACCTCCAGAGTGTTCAGGGCATTGCTTTGGGAAGGAAAAGAAATACTTTCAACTAAAACAGTGGCCCTTAAACTCTGAAAAAAAAAAAAAAAAAAAAAAAAAAAAAAAAAAAAAAAAAAAAACGTAAGCACACTAGAAATGTCTTACATTGAATATTTTTTGGTTTATTATCTTTAAAAGAGACAAAATAATAGTTATTGCTATTATGAAGCTCTTACTATATATCAGGCATCATATACCAGAAACTGAGATAAGTAATTTATTTACATCATGTAAATCACTTAACATGAAATTCTAGGAGAGATATCCCTGTCATTATAAAGTAACAGAGGTATAGGGAAGTAAACTGCTCAATTTCAAGCCCAGCCTTGCCACTATCAGCATCACAGTACAGCTAATGTTAGCACAGCACACGTTCAACCCCCCCCCCCCACCAACAGTTTACCTGTAGAGTAATGAGCTCTCTGCCAGGGAAGCCCACAAGACAGAATGGATTTCTAACACACTCAAGATCAGTCTTGCACAGATAGTCTGTGTTAACATTTGGTTTGTGACTGGCTTTCAGTGACATGAGCTATGTATCCTTAAAACTGTTCAGCAAGAACAGAAGGAAGTTATAATCAATGCCCTTAAAGAAGCTGACAAACATAAGTGAGATCTTCACAAGCAAGATAACCTAACACACAAGGACCTCAGATGGGATTTCCCTGTTGCATTAGTCATGTTTTTGTGACAAGACAGATGGAATCCTAGATAGACCATTCCAGGATAAACAGTCTTCTATTCATGCAGGTGTGCAAAAGCTCAGAGGTTCTTTGTGAAATTTGTTTTTTCTGTTGCTGGGCAGGGGTTGTGTCTTAGTGATGTCTCCCATAAAACGACTTTCAAGAGACAGAGCAAATGTTTCAGGATTTGCCACAACTTCATTATATTAGCTGTCATTGTAGTCACTGGGTTTATAGTATTTTTCTTTTTACAAAAAAATTAAAAGTCTTCTTTCCGATGGAATTTCTTTCCTTTTCCTTGTCTCATTCTCCTTTTCTGCTTTCACAAGTTTTTTCAAACGCTATCTTCCCTGTATAGCCTTCAGGCTCTTCTGATTCTTCCTATGTATCTTGTTGACAGCTTTTTACCATAAAATATAAATAGTTACAATTCTATTAAGTTGGAAGTCTGAGATATTTAAGACTAGGTTTTTCTCCCGATTACTTTGCTCCCTCACACATATACCATGCTCTCGGGTTAGAGAATACATTGATTAAATGTTCTCTGTACAGACAGAAGGAAGGAAGGATATGTGCATAGATGGATGGATGGATGGATGGATGGATGGATGGATGGATAGATAGATGGATGGAAGGATGGATGGATAAACAAATGGATACATCAATAAATGGATAGATGTGTAGGTAAGTAAACAGAAGGATGGAGATATAGATGGGTGAAAAGATAAAAGGGAGGAAGGACAGGAAAAGAGTTAAATGGTGGACTACAGTGTCCTTGTATTCTTAAACTTTTTTCATCATATATTCTGATTATTTTGTTTATTCTTGTATTTTTCTTCGCTTGAAAGATCCTGTGCACACAGGATTTGGCCTCCAAAGACTCATCATGATCATATGGCACACATTTTTCTCCCCACTAAAAACTGATTTTTTTTTTTAACCAAACTGCAAGCTTGAAAGTTTTGTCTTTCAGTCTCATATAATTGCTTTTCTAAAACTCTCCAAATGTATTCAAGTTCTGGAAGGAAGAGCTTATACTAAAAACAACCAACACTGCAGGGACTGCCAGGGTGACACATTCCTGATTAGTGCTAACTTTAATAATTACCACTGTGAGATTCTCCCAAGAGACAAGAAAGCTAGCTTTTACTTACATAGCTCCCAACCTTCACAAATTAATTCCAGAATGTTCCTTTTACTAAACAGAATACTGAGAATGTGTAGTTTTTATATATCATATCAGAATATTCATCCACTGAGTTATCTCCTCTGGGCATCTTCCTTTTGGGTATATAATAAAAGATCTGGATGGAAACGAAACAGTGGTGGCATTTTTACTTGTTTTACTCATTTTGTGACAAATGCATGTTGCTTTATGACTTGCCATACACATAATTACAGTTCTTTAATTTATGGTTCAATAAAATGTATAATAACAAACATTTAGTGCTCTATGAATAAACATTCAAATGAAGCTTATAGTGGAGGTTACAAGTTACGAAGCAGCTCTGTGGCTTTCCAGAAATCTCCCCCACTACTTAATGAGTATCATTTCCATAATCTGTGTATTATGGCTTAAGCCTTCCTTTAGGAATATTTTACAAAGCAAAAATTTGTGAACTATTATCGGCCCAAAGGGGAAAAAAATGTTAAGGAGCTTAACAACTTGTCCTGTTATAGGGACAGGACAAGCTCTCATATCTCTCCAGAGACCAAAACACAGTAATTATGGTGATGGCACTTTCTAATTTTCTCTCTAGCTGGATGCAACACTGCTATGGATTTGCCTGTAAGACCTGGCTTACACAAAAGTGTTGAGAAACCCAGAAAGGTCAGCCGGGAAGGTCAAGCTATAGTAATTTCACTTAAGTACTATAAAAAAAGAGACCAGGAAACAGATCTATAATTCAGAGGATGCTAGAATATAGCAAAATGGACACTTGTGGATGGGGAAACAATTTGTTGAGTATCAAACAGACACTCTGAAGCAACTGAAAGAAGACAGAATCCTAAACTGAGCTTCTCATGGCTGATGTGTGCATTATTTTCAATGTGAGTCAGTTTTTAGGAAAATTACTTAATAGAGCTTGATGTCATTATCATTTTGAAAGGTTAATCTATTTCAAATAATTTTTGCAAATTGTGTTAGAAAATGAAGGTGCTTTTAAAAATAACTAAAGCATAATGATAAAGTTTTTTCTTTGTCCAACAGCAGTGACTGCACTGTTTAACTAGAAAGAAAAAAGTTGCTGGGGGAAAATCAGAAACAAAAATTCTTCACAGTACATCAAATCCAGAGATTTAGCCTCCGTAGAGCAGTGCTGAAATGTGTTGAAGTGATGGCTGTCATTTCATGACATGTAGCTTGCTTTATGGGTAGCTTGGCACAGTTCATTTAAACTTTGTCAGGAGGGCTTCATTTTGCATAGAAGTCTTTTTTTTAGTGTGAATAAAAATCTCCAGGCCTATATGCTACATATTAAGCCTGTGCTGTTATTTAAATAGGAAATTTTTAAGTAGGAAATTTAAGTTGGGCACACAGCTAAAAGTTCTAAAGTGAAGCTCTTTTCCTACCAATTTATGCATTTCCATGAGTAATTTGTACCTTGATTGGACTGTTATTGTAAAATCTTGCAAATGAATTTTTTTTAGCACAAATTGAATAATGCACATACCATTTGTCATGGTTTATGTCAGTGTCCCCCAGGCCTCATGTATTTACATTATGCATCTGTGATTGGTTTATTGTATAGTGCTTGGATTGATGACGTCAGTGCTATACCCACACAAGGGTGGAGCAAAGATGTGATGTAATGGCAGGAAGGAGGCATATTTATCATGCTGGGTTCTCCTTGTTGTTTGCAGCCACCATCAACTGTAGCCCCACCATGCCACTCTACCTTGGAACCAACTGAGTGTGGACTGAAGCCTCCAAACACTGTAAGAAATAAACCTTTCCTTTCCCAACTTGGTGCATCAGGTATTTTGTCTCAGTGACGAGTAAAAAGTAACTATGACAGAATTAGGTACTGGGGAATGGGGTCATCTGCTGTGACTATACCTGACCATGTTTTTCGAGACGCTTTGGAAATGGCTTGTGGGCAGAGTTTGGAAAGGTTCGGACATGTCACCTGGATGCATAGAGCTGGAGCCGCTTAGGCTATTCCATAGAGGAGATTCTGTTCAGAGCTGAGGAGACCAGAAGGCTGATAGAAAGCCTCATGGTAAAGACCAGGCTTGGGAGGTTTCTGCTGGGAAGGACTGCATTGGTTGTTGAACTCCCCATGATGTGTATTATGGGTTGGCAGAAAGTTTGTCTGTATTTTGCTCATGCCCAGAGATTTTGCCTGAGATTGAGACAAAGGGCAATGGACTGATTAATCTTGAAAAGGAAATTTCCAGGCAGTCAAATGTTGAGGCTGTGGCGTGGCTATTATTGGGGGCTTTAGCCAGCTTTATGTTGCAAATCAAGAGCAAAGAGCCCAGCAGGATAATTTATAATACTGTGAGTTTGGCCAGAAGGAAAATTCCAGGAAAGCTGTAGATTGTAAAGACAGAGTTGAGACTTTGATTGCTGAGGAGAAACAGAGAGATAAGAAAGATGGCCCTGGGGCATCCCAGGAAGCAGCAGGTTGCTACCCTTTGCAGCCTCAAAACTGAAAAAGGGAAAGAATTTGCTCAGAGGAGAAAGCTGCAGCACATCATGCTCCAGAATGGCGATGGAGGCCACGTGAGGTTCCACAGTGGCAGCAACATAGAGAAGATTTTCTTTACAATCAGGTTTACAGAACCCAGTGATCCAGGCTATTGATCCTTACAGCCAGGAGAGAAAAAAACCTGGCTACCGCTCCAGCTGGCAGCAAACCTTGGTGACATTCACATGGTGCTGATTTTAGGTGTAAGGAAAATGCACAAATTCTGAGGTAAGATGGCTTCCACCTCGATTGCAAAGGGCCTGGCTGGCCAAGCAGTGTGCCTCTGAGAGGGCAATTTGTAAAGATGTAAGGGTGAAGCCAAAGGTGTAGTGGAGACCCCAGTAGTTTGGAAAAAGCCAGAAACATGGGTAATCCAAGGAAAGCTGCAAGAAGTGATTAGAGAGGATTTAAGAAAAAAGCTGAAGGAGCTGAAATCCCTGGAAGTGCCACGGGGGTGGAATCACTGAAGCCTTTTGGACCTTGCAACCCGATTGCTTCAAAAGCTGAGCATGAAACTCTAGGACTTGCTTTGTTTCCAATGCTTTATATTCCCTTTTGTAACTTTTGGAATGGTAATGTTTATCTTGTGCCTTTGCATTTCAGAGATGTTTAACCTTGTTTCATTTGTACAGGGGTTACAGTTAAGAGTTTGCCATAGATCTTGGAGGAGACTTGGGACTCCAACTGTTCAGCAATGTTTGAAACTGTTAGGACTCTGGCAACTCTTGGAGATGGACTAAATGTCTTTTGCATAAAGGATGTACATGAGTCCTGGGGTCCAGGGATGGAATGTCATGGTTTATGTCAGTGGCCCTCAGGCCTCATGCATTTATATTATGCATCTGTGATTGGTTCATTGTCTAGAGCCTGGGTTGATGGTGTCAGTGCTACACTCACATAGAGGTGGAGCCAAGATGTGATGTAATGGCAAGAAGAAGTCTTATCTCTCTTGCCGATTTATCCTTGCTGTTTGCTGCCATGAACTGCAGTCCTGCCATGCCACCCTGTCTTGGAGCCAACTGAGTATGGACTGAAACCTCCAAAACCATAAGAAATAAACCTTCCCTTTCCCAACTTGATGCATCAGATATTTAATCTCAGTGATGAGTAAAAAGTAACTAAGACACTATTTCAATATGGCTTTTTCACATATGACTTCAATGAAACTACAACATTATACACAAATAGAATTTAGTGTGATCTGAATTTCATCATCCTTCTCCACTAGAACTTTTTTCTTATCCATTTTTCTCTTGGTACATATGCTTTATTTTTCATCATTCCTGAATGAGAAAGAATTAGGCATAATCATCTTCTAGAAGGTTACAGCTTTCTCCCAATTCAAATAAGTAGGCATTCATTTCAGAGACAAATATCTAAAGATAACATCTTCTGAAAGGGAATAAATTTCAACCTAAAGAGCCACTACCTCTTGTGGGTTGTAACTAATATGCTACAAAACCATATCTTATTTTTTTGTAGTATTGATGATTGAACTCACAATTTTGCACTTGCTAGGCAGGCACTTATGACACTGAGCTAAATCCCCATCCCAGTCATATCAGTTTTGAAATCATGATCTTGTAAAGATATCCCTATTCTATGTTCATTTCAATATGCATCACAACATCCATAAAACAGAAACAATCTTAAGTGTTGTCAGTAGATGGACAAAATTATAAAAATCTGTGGTATACATTCACAGTGGAATGTTATTTACCTTAGAAAAGGAGACCATCTGCTATTTTCTATAATAAAGATGAAACTGTCTGGGAACATGAGCTAAGTGGAATAAGCCAGGTACAAGAAAAAATATACTGTATAACTTTACTTATACATGGAATATGTAAGTCAAAATATACATAGAGGATGAAACAGTGATCACTAAATCAGGGTACAAATGGGGATATGGGGACACAAAATAACAAGAGGGAAAGATGATCAAGTTTAGAGAACTACTATGTATTTACACATGTAATGTTGAACACTTGGTTTATACAATCACATTTACTTAAAAACATAACACATATCACCTTCATGAGTGAGAATCTTTTCAAAATAGCCCTTGTGTAATATATAAGAAAATCCACTCCCAACGCATTCCCACAACCTACACGCACTGATCCAATAGCCTGAAACAGAACAAATAACTCTGGTTAGGCCACCAAGTCTCAGTTTTATAGAAACCTCTCAAATCACACCTGGATTTGGTTTGCAATGATGATACTGGGAGTACCCAGGGTACTGCACATCATCTCACCCTGGCTCCCACCTAAGATGCCAGGGAGATTTGTGGGGTCCTGTCTGGTGGCTTTAAGGTGCAAACTATGAACACTGCTAAGGCAATAGAAATAAAAAAGAAAACAGGCAGAAGAGAAAGCCTCGGAACCAAAGTTAATTTTTCTCATAACCTATTTGGTTGTTCAGTGAGTCGGAGTGATTCCATCAGCAGTTCTCAGAAAGTAATGATATGAGGGATTGATAATGTTTCTTTCTGTGGGTGATTTTGAGGATCGAATTGCTGAGATTTACGTCAACTAAACTTGTTTAACCGAGAATGGAGCCCTAGCTACCTTCAGTCTCTGTGATTCAGAGACCACCTGGTAAGGAAAGACACACAGCATTATGTCACCAGCTGGAACTCACTTTTCACAGAGGGACCTGCAATAGAGTCTTAAAGACAACCCCGGTGTGCCAAGAATCTGTCCATATGCTGGAATATTATGATGATGGAATTTATGAAGATAGAGACCTTTTAGGAACATTTGGTATGAATGTGTCCACGTGGAGTGGGTCAGAATGTTCTGTGCAGGAGCTGAGATATGGCAAAGCAATTATAATGATTTTTCTAAGTCCTTTAACCTTCAGAATTAACATTTGGCCAAGAAGACCATTTAAAGGCTGACCATATATTTCATATGTGACAAAATAATTGTGTCTTACAGGACACTGCTGAGCCCTGGCTATCGCTGATGTTGGCTTAAACCAACAATCAATTTTTAAAAACTTATAAACACAAAGCACGCCACAGGTAGACCCCTGTATGTGAAATATGTAAATCATGTTTTGATCCTGAGAAATGTTACCCTTTCACAGCATAATTACAGATATTGGAGGTCTTACAGGTAGCACAAGAATATCACATTCTCTGTGAGGATGCAGGTGCTAGGGTGAGATGGAACAGTAAGCATATGTTTTGCTTTAAGCCCAGTGACATGGAAGGCTCAGGTCTCTATAACCTAGGACATTTAATGACAATACACTGATTCTGCCACTCCACAGGATGGGCTCAGTTCCTCGTCTTGCCATTTAGGAGCTGGCGTCATCATCTAGCATCCCAAAGATAGATATTCCCTGTGTGTAAAATGGATCAATCTCAGGAGGTCGTGGTGAGGACTAATGGGCCGGTGCAGCACAGTGCTTAGAGTACGGCCTGAACTTGGTGTGCACTTGTGAGCTCACAGCTACCATTGCTCTGACACTAAGACCACTCATAGACAATACTCCTTCCTACTGTAACTGTTAACGTTGCTAGGTGACCACACAAAAACTTTCTGAAGAGTTTTTTAAAGAATCCCATAAAACTTCATAAAACACATCACTTTTACCTTTCTTTTAAGAAATTCATAATTTTTAAAGATAAATGATTCACTGGAGCCTAATTTATAAAACTGACAGAAGTAGAATCATTCTTCTAGGAGCGATATAAGATTCTATACACACATCCTGGCTCAAAAGAATTCTGCAGTTTCTGAGAATACAATTTGAAACCTTTTGTTTTTGACCCATTGAAGCCTGAAGCCGAAAACTTTCTTCTCTGGGAACTAGTCTTTAGGCAGTGAGACCTGGGGGATAAGAGTGTCACAGTCTCATTTAGAGCATTTGGATGGAGTCCTCATTCCAATACTCATGTTCTATGTGACTCTGAGAAAGCAGTTCAACACCTCAGAGCCTTGGGTACCACATTTATAACAAGCATAATAAAGTATCTCCTTCAAAAAAGGCTCTGAGAAGATTAGATACATGGAAATCTCCTAACATGGAACTGACGGCATCATCACAAATTTCACAATAAATAGGAACTTCTCCATTAGCTATTTTTACCCAGGTCCTTGTTTCTATGCTCTTCTCTAGTGAGGCTAAGAAAATTTCATCTACTCTCTCCACCTAAAAACGTCATCTTTATTCATTTATGTTTTCACTTTTTTGGACATGTATGTAACTGTGATCTCAGCTCCAGGGATC